CATCTTCTTCCTATGGAGCAGCTAGAGGGTTTGAACTGCCAGCCTTCTGGTTAGCAGCTAAGTAGCTTAGCCACTATGCCACTAGAGTTCCTTTCGGAGTGGCTGGTGGGTTCAAATTGCTGACCTTTAGGCTTACAGCTGAGCACTTAACCACTGTGTCACCAGAGCTCACAGTGAAAAAAATTCCTGGACTTGGAGAGTCAGAAGACTTAGGTTCAAGTTCTTTGCCCACACTACTCCCTCTACCTATGTTATTCTTTCTCTGTGCCCCTCCCCACCAATCACCATCACCTTACAACTCTTATCCTCTGAATCTCAGGGAAATTTTCCTGATTTTCTTCACTGACTTGGTCAAAATTCTATCATAGGTGCTATCATAACAATATACCTTTTCTGAGTTCCATTTTTACATTTATTTGTGTAGTGATTCCATGAGATCAAAGACTCTGGTTTTACTAATCATAATATTCCCCTCTCCTCTAAGAGTTATATAGCTTCCTCTAACCATATTTATGACATGATGGGAGGATGACTGGCAGGGAGAAGGGAAGGAGGAAGAAAACTCCTGGCTTTAATGATTACTTGGTTGCAAAGTAACTTGTTCTTTCTGTTTCCTCATCTGTAAAATGGAACTCATAACGTGTATTTTCCAGAGTTGTTATAAGAATTAAATGAGATACTTGATGAGATACTATTCATAACTGTAAAGCCAATGGCATTTTAATACAAGGCACGCTGTGGAAAGCATTATGGCAATCAAAGATGAGAAAAAAAGCTAAAAGAGAATGAAGGATAGGTGATTAGTTCCCTTTGGAATTGGGGCAGAGAATGAATTAATATAGACTTAATAGAGAAGGAAGTATGTGGCTGAGGCATAGCTAGGTTTTAGTAAGTAGAGATAGAACACCTACTTTCTGTATTTACAGACTACTCTGTGTGTGTGTGTGTGTGTGTGTGTGTGTATGTTAACCCACTGCCACTGAGTCAGTCCTGACTCATAATAGTCCTAAAGGACACAGTAGAACTCCCCCATAGGATTTTCATGGTTGTAATCTTTATGGAAGAAGATTGCCACATCTTTCTTCTGTGAAATGGCTGGTAGGTTTGAACCACTGACTTTTTGATTAGCAGCTGAGCACTTAACCACTGCACCACCAGGGCTCCTTGTGTGTGGATAGATAGAATCTGTTTTGTTCATACCTTATCCCCAATGTCTATAACAATGTCTGCTGCATGATTTTTGCTCAATAAATATTTATTGAATGGATAAATAACTGAACAAATGAAGAGAGAAAGGAATATCAATGTAAATCTTAAGGATAAAAGTATGGGCAAAAGAAAGTGTCTGGTTTACTCAGAAAAGAGTACTGATATGAGTATCTGGCCTTCTAGAGACCAAGGCAGAGGGGAGGAGAGGGGGTACCTATAGATCCAGTAAACACAAATATTGCTAACTGATGAGAATTTTGCTGGATTTGGGAATTTAAATGCCATTTGCATGGCGGATTTGTGGAATTTCTGTTTTCAAACTAAAGGGCCAAGCACTGATGCCTTCCTTAGGTAAAACTGAAAGGAAAGTGCTCCTCATTAAAACACTTTAAATTAAAAGCCTGAGTCAGTCCTAATAACTTATCATCACAAAGCTCTCCTCTGCATGTCATGGATGTTTGACAGCACGTGACATATAATGACGGTGAAGGAAAAAATGTGCTTATGATTATAATAAAGATGAAAACTATGGAAATCATCAGGGGCGTCTGAATTCAAGATGCCTGTGAATGCAAATCATGTTATTTGCATAGATTTGTGGCAGTACTACAGATATTGGTTGAAATTCAGAAGTAGATGAATAATGAATAAAATGCCATTTTTAAAATCATAAAATAAAAATGTAATGACTCTTATCTTTTGGAAAAATTTCCCTCTTAGAGGCATTTAATAGAGGACAAGGAACTGAAAATAAACTGGGTACTGAAGACTTTTAATATACCATGGCCTTTTTTTTCTTTTTTATGTTAAGAAATGACTTCCTAATCAGTATATATGATAATGATCTGTAATCTTACCAGTGTGAGATTGATGATAAATATCAAGCATTGATTATTTAATAACATGAAAAAATGATACACATAGGAGTCATCCAATCCTCTTCAATGGGAAGTTGTTATCATTCAGCTATTGCAATATAATTCAAAAAAAAATCTTTTTAAGGTATCATTTTAATGCAAATAACCTAGCAGAAGACTTTTAAACCACTGATGCCTAAAGCTTATTTTTACCTAAGGCTCAGGTAGTAAGAATGTTTGAAATAATTGCATTCTTGTCTAATTACATAAAGACTAATTTAGAGTCTCATTTATTTAAAGAGTGTTTGGTATAGCAAATACGTTTAAAAGACACACAAGAGCAGGTAGTTAAAACTTAAAGTTGCAATAAAGATGTAAAAGGAAAGATTAAAATTGGTTTAGACTTCTCTGATTTGTTGTGGAAGGGCAGTAAAGTGTGAGAGAGCTTTAACAGACTTTCAGAGATGCAGAGAAAGAGGCAGGACAATGCACCACAGCTCCCTAAGGCACCAACACTGTTTTGAGCCTTTCCAGAATATGTCCGATTGCACAGCTGACCACAGGCAACTAGGAGAGTTGACCTGGTTGAGTGTGGATGAGTATGCATGATTCCCAACCATTGGGCACTTTCACACGTGTCCTTCCTGTGTGTTGTGTGTGTGTTTATACAGCAGTGAGCTTTGTGGTTAACCACCGCAGCCATTGGAGCTACTAGAACAATAACACACACACACAAAAAAAAAAAAAAAAAAAAAAACTTCAAAGTAGTCTTTGATAATGCATTTTAGAGTTTGCAAATGACTTTTACATAGGCAATCTCAAGTCATCCTCATACCCACCCGAGAAAGAATGAGTTCTGTCCCTGCCCCAGAAATACACTCAGGCTGTGTATAGGAGGACCACTGAAAACATTTTGCTAAATCTAGATCATTCCCCCAAGACTATATTGGCTGAGTCATAAAGCAAATGTCCAGGCCTCTCCCAAGGACTAAGTGAGCAAGTGAGCTCAAAATGTGAGTGTTTCTCAAGGTATAGTCCCTTACTAGAAGCATTAATACCACCTGGAACATTGTTTAAAATGCAAATTCTTGGGTCCCAATCCAAAGTTAACAAATCAGAAACTCTGGGGATGGAGTCCAGCAATCTTCTTTTTAATAATTCTAAAGATGCTTCTGATGCTAGCTAAAATTTGAGACACTCTAGTCTAAGCATAGTTCAATAAACACTAGAAGCTGGGATACATTTAGATTAAGTCACTCATTCATCTATGAGTTTGGGTAAATTGGGTCATCTCTCCAGGTATCATTTCCTCACCCTCCAAATGAAGAAGTTTCACTAGGTGAGTGCCATGTGCTTCTCTCTCCCATATATTCTGTGAGCCTTCATGAAATGTGAATTGAGGCAGCAATGGAGTAGCTGCTCAACATCATCAACATGACTTCCTTTAACTCCACAATAATCTCTGGCTGTGTTAAAGTCTTGAGGTTTAGTCTCCAAGTATCTCTAGTTAAGTTATAGTTGAACCTGTGAGTAGATGCCTTGACTGTCACCTATAGCATAGTTAACGTGCCAGTTAACATTCCAGTTAACAAGACTGGCACACAAAGGTGATTCTTGAAGATATCAGGAATCAGAAACGAGGGGTCAAATAAGGGTTTTCTTTTAACTTAAAAAGGTCGTACTAGAGTAGGGTGATCCTAAACCTGATCATTTCTGAGTGTGTCTTATAAAAAGAGCAGAAAAGACACAGACACACAAACACAGGGGGAAGACAGATGCCACATGAAGACCTATCTTCAGGCAAAGAAATGAAGGAAGGAGCTGACCTAATGAAGTAAGTCAAGAAAGACAAAGCTTCATTCAATTCTCAATTTTATTGAAGTTGAGCTCTAACTCTGATTAGGTCCAAATACCAATTTTATTTTAGATTAAAATATGGATTTTAAAAAAATGTTTGCCAATTTTAAGACTTGTTTATCCTCTTTTCTTGCTGCATTATATGGAATGTTAATCTAAAAAGATTGCTAGATATAAAAAGAAGCTGAATCCAAGTAGAGGTCAATCTACCAAGACTCTACTTGTCATTCTTGGCCATTTGAGGAAACCCCTGGTGAAAATCAGCCAGAAAGGGGTCCTTTTTGAGACTACACTTTCACTGTCATCAGTAGGGCTATCCAATTCAGTCTGTCAGCTAACACATATTTGTGGGTCTCCTACCACAAGCAGGAACTAAGGATGCATCAATTAACAAGTTAGGAATGGTCCCTACTCTGGAGTATACAGTCCAGCAGGAATGACAGAATGCATGTTATAAGAAAGTATCATGGGAGCAAACACAAAGTAACTAAGCTAACATCAGAGGTTTATAGCAGCATAGAGAGTCAATAACTCAGGACAAAATGGTTGTGCCTTTACCTGAGATTATCTGCACGATGCAGCACACTTCTTTCAATAACTGTGGGTCTCTCAAACCAACAGAGAAAGACATCATTCTTCCTAGAGCAGGGTTTCTCATCTCCTTCCCAGCTTGCTCTTCCCTACCTCTGTAGGTAGGATAAGCATGGATAAGGCCAGATTCAGGGGAAGGGTCAGTGTGAATATTGCAGCCTGTAGCCTGGTTTTAGTACTTCCCACTACCTGTTACTTTTAGCTATTTGCAGGTTATTCCTGCTCTGATTTAACTATATTCACATTAGTTTTTTTTCACAAAACTGATACTTGTAAAAGAAAAACCTTATGAAGTAGGTCTCCCTAATCAAATCCAATTATACACAAATCACTGAATGTTTGGTAAATGTAAGACTGTGGACTGTGATGAACCTGGGACTGGAGTCCCCCCCTGCCACCTGCCTTATGCAAATATCCCCACAGTTACCCCATAACACCATGTCCAGAAAAAAGAGCCACCAGGTATAGAGCCAGGTATACACTTACTGTTGTCCTCAGCAACACAATGTCTGCCTCTTGCAAGGAACATGGGACACAATGTGCCCATACGTGCCAAGCTGGTCTCCAGTAAAACACCAAGGGGAGGATCCCAAGTGAGAAGATGGATCCAGCAAGGCAAAGAGCTTTCCGGCAGGCTTGAGTCTGATAGCCAAATATCTCCTGGGACAGAACCAAAATGATCCCAAATATTAGTTAAGTACAATAAACAGTAAATCAATTTTATAACTGATTTTAGCTATAAAACTGGGGCCAGGGAGTAAAGAACTTAAGAAGGGGGGATACAGTGAGGGATTCACAGAGTGGAAAAGGAATTCTGATTAAAAAAAAAAAAAAAAAAGAGAGAGAGAAGCATTATCCCAACCCTCCAAATGTCAGTATAACTGGGTGTCATGGATTGAATTGTGTCCCCTAAAAGAAAGGTGAAAACCCTAACCACTCTATCTATAAATAGGATGTTGGTTGGAAATAAGGGTTTGCTTTTATTAAGTTAATAAGGTTGTATTAGAGTAGAGTGGTCCTAAAACTGATCACTTCTGAATGTGTCTTATAAAAAGAGTAGACTAGACATAGAGACACATACACAGGGGGAAGACAGATACCACATCAAGATCTGTCTACAGGCAAACAAATGCCAAGGATCACAGGCTGTTGTTGTTGTTGTTGTTTGTCGTCAAGTTGGACCCGACTCATAGCGATCCCTCCTTGGGTTTCCGAGGCAGTATCACTACGGAAGTAGAATTGCCCAATCTTCCTTCCGAGGAGTGGCTGGTGGGTTTGAACAGCCAGTCTTCTGGTTAGCAGTCAAGTGCCTTAGGCAATATGCTACCAAAGCTCCTAGGCAAACACCAGAAACTAGAAGAGAGGGTCACAGTAGGAATTGACTGATCAAAGTCCTGATTTGGACTTTCAACCTCCATAACTGTGAAACAATAAATTTCTATTCCTTAAAATCTCCACCCACTTGTGCTGTATGTTTTTGTTATGGCAGCACTAGGTGAGCATGACACTGGCATATTCCATTTCTATACTTCTGAGCACCTGGCTAGCTTGTGCCAACCACTGTGTTTAGATATGTTGCTCTATTTAAGTCTCTCAGTCATCTGCTGAATAAGATAATATTGCCATAATTTTGTAAATGATGGGACTGAGTTCAGAAAGGCTGAATGACCTGCCCTAGACTACATAGCTAGGAAGTTCTGCTGCCAAAATTCAAACTCAGATCTATCAACCTCCATGTCTTCCATTTGATCCATAGACTTTAGTAGATATAACAACCGAGCCATGGAATGGAAGTAGAAGAGGGCAGCAACCAATGATCTCTTTGGCCTGGGACCAGTGGTCTCACGGGCAGGAGGGACTTGAATAAGGTCCTGAGGTCACAGTCAGGATCTGGTGAAAGATTTCACAATAGGAAGATTAACACCTCAATAGAATTTTCCTTTTAGAATTTGGGGTAGAGCTACACATTCCCACTGTCCTATGTTTTTAATGAGAAAAAGAATCTTACATCAGGGAGAAAAACCATAGAGACTATTAGGTTGACTTCAACTCACGTTTATATGGAGCACCTGCTATATGCCATGAGGTGATATTAGGCCCTGGAGCATATAAAAATGAATAAGATATGGTGTGTACCTCTAGTAAATTTACTACCTGGACAAGCTTCTTTCTCCTAAGTAAAGTTCGGGACAAAATGGAAAACCATCCCTGAAGTTTATGACTTCAGTCCCACAACTTCACCCTCAACACAATGGGTGTATTTCAAACCCATTTTATACTGGATACAATGCTTAAATTTGAGAGCTAATAGAGTATATTGGTTACAAGCACAGTGTCTAGACCAAGCACTTTGGTTCAAAGCCTAGCTCTCTCTCCCACTTACCAGGTATGTGACCTTTGGTTAGTTATTTAACTACTTTATCCTGCACTTTATTTATCCACAAAGTAGAAGTGGTGATAGAACACACCTCACTGGGTTGCTGTGAGAATTAAAGTTGATATGTCTAAATGATACATAAGCATTCACTATTACTGCTGCTGCTGCTGCTACTATATAATTATTATTACTGCTTGGCCCCACTTCCCCAACAAAGACTGCACTTCTACCACTACTTTATTGGCACATAGATCCAAGAACTCCTAGTTTCGTTGTTTTGCTTTTCTAGAATTGCCTCTTAGGATGACAAGGAAGTTAAAACATGCAATTTTAAATCCACCAGCTTCTCTAGCTCACCTGATAAATATTACATTAATGGAATCTGTTATGTGCCATCGAGTCGGCCCCGACTCATAGCGACCCCTCCTTGGGTTTCCGAGGCAGTATCACTACGGAAGTAGGATTGCCCAACCTTCCTTCCGAGGAGTGGCTGGTGGGTTTGAACCGCCAGCCGTCTGGTTAGCAGGCAAGTGTCTTAGCCACTATGCTACCAGAGCTCCCTAATGGAATCTATTACTCAGTTATTACTGGTAATAAGAGCTATTATTAGCAACTACAATAAGTAGGCCTCTTCAATAAGTACTTTGCACATACTCTACCTTTTAGATTAAAATAACTTTCCCAAGCACAAAACTAATAAGTAACTCAAAACTGGGCCTGCAATCTGGACCTTTCAGCCCCGGGCTTTGTCTGTAGTGCCTCCCTGCTTTGGATGTCTAAGTGGTTCCCAGATACAGATAAGGATTTTCTCTCTGCCTGCAATGATTAAAGCACTCAGCTGCCAACCAAAATGTCAGTGGTTAAAACCCACCAGGCATTCTGTGGGAGAAAGATGTGTCAGTCTGCTTTCATAAAGATTTATGGCCTTGGAAACCCTATGGAGCAGTTCTGTTGTTGTTATATGCCGTCGAGTCGGCCCTGACTCATAGCGACCCCTCCTTGGGTTTCCGAGGCGATATCACTACGGAAATAGGATTGCCCAACCTTTCTTCCGAGGAGTGGCTGGTGGGTTTGAACCGCCAGCCTTCTGGTTAGCAGTTCTACTAGCTCCTAAAAGGGTCATTATGAATCAGAATCGACTCATTGGTAGTGGATTTGGATTTTTGGATTCTTTCCATCCAGGAAAGTTGATGAGATCTTCTAGAATTGGACCACAAAAGCACAGAAGAGTTACTTGGGAGTAGGGAATGTCAATGGAAGATAATGATCTGGTGGTTTCTACACTAAGTTTCCTCCTCATTCTGGCTTAATTTCAGTTCAATATAACAAATGTTTATTAAATGTCTGCCAAATAGCAGACATGTACTAGGCACAGAGATAAATGAGACACTGACTCCAGTCTCAAGTTGCTCATTAGTTTAGTGGAGAAGAGAGATGCACAAACCAGTAAGTTGAAACAAGGATAGAACAATGGAAGATTTATATAGAGAGATGAGTATATAAATTATTATCTCAAAAGTGCTATTAATAATTACAGTGACACTGCAGGGCTAGGCCAGAAGTGTCTGAGGCAAATCAGTCAGACCAATGCCTCCCTAGTTATACCAGAACGTTACTCTAAGAGCTTGTAATAATGGCTGATGACCAATCATATGTACATAAACCTGTAACCAACTTTTCTATGAAAAAACTAGAATGAGGATTAATAGTAGTGAATTAAGTTGAAATGATTTTAAGTGAGTTGCATTGTATTGACTATTGACATATTGGATTATAAATTGCAAAAATTAGTATGGCACTATTCATTATCTCTCTGTAGCAATTTACTTCATACATTTATGTAATGCCTTCTATGTCCCTAGGAGCTCTGGTAGCACAGTAATTAAGCTGTTATCCAAACAGTTCAGCAGTTCAAATACACTAGCTGCTCCATGGGAGAAAGATGTGGCAGTAAGCTTCCATAAAGATTTACAGCCTCTGAAATACTATTGGGTAGTCTACTCTGTCCTACAGGGTCACTATGAGTCAGAATCGACTAGATGACAATGGGTTTGTTATTATGTTTGTTTCGTTGGTTGGTTTCCATGTCCCTGAATATGCTTGAAAAACCTTGCTCCACTACCTTGTACTCTACTCATCCTCACCTCCTACAAAATTTGGTCAATAAGTCAAAAACAGAATATTGGGAAAACATCAAATGAAAATTACACAATGAAGTAAATTCATGGCAGAGACTATAGCCATTGCAGGATAAGACACTTTCTTTTTCCTTGACCCCTCCTATCTGCAGGTTCTTCTGTTCCTGAACATCAATGTCTTGGTTGTCTAAGGCTTAAACTTTGGTTTTCAAGTGTCCAAGCCTTCTCTGCTGCAAAATCCCTATGCTCAAGAAGTCAACCTGTGCTCCCCAGAACAATGGTTTAAACTATGTCAGCTAATAGAACCCTTAAAACATCTGTAGACATTCCTCTGAAAAAACACACATAACCACATACATACAAACTTCTCCATAGAGATTCAGGGGATTTGCAGAATCAGATAAGGGTCCTGTCCTAGAGGGTTCATAAGGATGCTTTTTCACAGTTTTTCCTCAGTACTTTAACTCAGGTCCTGTTTACTAAGCCCTTAGAAAAACAAAAGTATAAAAACTTGGGCACATGGCAATGCAGAAAATGGGGAAGGAGAATAGCTGTCTCTGGAGAAACATCACAGAATGATGTCATCACCCAGGCACCAAGTCCTGAGACTGGCTTCTGGCAAAACCACCTCTCATAGGACAGACTCAGGTTAACCACATCTCAGAGACTGCGTGTAATGAGACAGTGAGATGTATGTAACTGTCTCAGCTACCAGATATACATGTGTTGGTATTGACAGTGTTATCTCTTCATTGGCACCATCTCGACAGTGATGATGGTTCTGCCAAAGGAACCATTAGCAAGCAAAGTGCTTAAAATGGGCTCTGGAACCTTCTCTGAACATCTCCCATTTTAATTAACACATATCTTCTTTAAACATATTAATTCATTCAATCAAATTATAGTCAAGTCTGACTGTCCTGGGAGCCATTTAGTCTCTTTAAGACAATTTGGTTTTCTCTTTTATCTTTGTTAAACAGTTGAAAGTTTTTAAATATTTTTTTAAATATCTCAATGATAATCTCTTTCCCTTATTTTCAAATTCTGGGTATAAAAAGAATGTTTCACTATAATTTCCATGTGCTCCAGAAAATTATGCTAAATGAGTGCAATTCACATCACTGCTTATCCAAATTCAACCCCAATCCCTATTCAAGTTTTACCTCAATAATTTCTTGTTTGCCATTCTTAGTGCTAAAGGAAGAAAGCTAGTGTTAATCATCATCAAATTCCCTAAGTTTTCTCTAAGTTGTCTGACAGCTAGATCTGAGCATGAAAAGCTCAAGCTGAACTACTTACTCCAAAAATTTCCAACTGTGAAAAAGCATCCTTATGAACCCTCTAGGACAGGACCCTTATCTCAAAAAGAATGGTCTGCAAATAGGTTTTTCCTTGGCCTTGAAAGTACTTTTTAAAACTTCAAATTGGTCCCTCAGTTATTTTTACACAAAAGTTATGATTTCTGTCATTGCTTTGAAATGAATGAATTTGAAATGAATGAATGAAATTGCTTTGAAATAAATCAGAAATTATGACAATACGGTACCAATATTCTGTCATTATATTACCAAAAGACAGGTATTAAATAGCATAGGAAACAACCCAAACGCCTATCAGTGAGAGAGAGGATAATACACTGTGGTCTATAGTAATGTAATGTTAAGTGAAAAAAGTCAGTCCCAAGGGATTGCTTATAGCATGATAACTTTTTTATGAAGTTAAAACAACTGAAGTTTAAAATACACATTTAGAATACGTCTAGATAAAGGAAAACTGCATAGAAAGCAAAGCAAGGGAACTATAAACACATGATGCAGATTAATGGCAGGGCTTCAAACTGGTTCTTCTAAGTTCAGCCATGGCCGAAGAAGCAAAACCAAAATGGATCCAAATTTGTAAAATATACGTGTAAAAGAATGATAATGTAAACAAGAAAAATTACAGTTGAGGCCCTGCTAGAAACTGAACTTCCCTCTTAGAAAATGAGGGCAGCGTTTAAACAAACAATGGCACCGGCTCAAACATGGTGGTGACCAAGCGGCTTTGAAAGTGTGTTGCCCTCCACAGTCCTGCCAAGAATCTAGTGTCCTCCATCAGGCTCCTGAAAGGGCTCACTATGCCTCCCCCAAGTCTCCCATTATAGAATTTATACTTGTAACTTTTCCCATTCCAGTTACCATTCTGGTACACCCACATTTCACAAATTGGGATCTGCTCCAATTTTGCCGTGTCAACCATGACTGAGCCAGTTTGAATCAGTTCAAAGCTTCAATAATGGTTACCTTCAGTAGGGGGAGGACAGGGAATGAGAGGGCCATATAGTTAGATGTAGATTCTTGTCAAGGTCCTAGCTTTTGTTTGGGGTACAGAGTCATCACATTCTTATAAATACTTAATGCATACTGTATGCAGAAATTATTGAACAATACCAGTATTGTATCCCTTCACCATACTTATTCAATTTCTGTGCTGAACAAATAGTCTGAGAAGCTAGACTATATGAAGAAAAATGCCATATCAGGATTGGAGGAAAACTCATAAACAAACTGTGATATGTAAACACAACCTTGTTTGCTGAAAGTAAAGACTTGAAGCACTTATTGATGTACTGATGGAGATCAAAGACTACAGCCTTCAATATGAATTACATCTCAACATAAAGGAAACAAAACTCCTCATAACTTGTTCAATAGGCAACATCATGATAAACAAGGAAAAGACTGAAGTTGTCAAATATTTCATTTTATTTGGATCCACAATCAACACCAATGGAAGCAGCAGTCAATAAATCAAATGACCAATTGTGTTGGACAAATTTACTTCAAAAGATCTCTTTATAGTGTTAAAAAGCAAAGATATCACTTTCAAGACTAAAGTGTGCCTAACTCAAGCCAAGGTGTTTTCAATTGCTTCCTATGCATGCAAAACCTGGATAATATTAAAGGAAGACCGAAAGCAATGTCTTCGAATTACAGTGTTGGCAAACAATATTAAATAGACCATGGAGTACTAGAAGAAGGAACAAATCTTTCTTGGGAGAAGTATAGCCAGCATGCTCCTTAGAAGTGAGAATGGTGAGACTTTGTCTCACACCCTGGACATGTTATCAGGAGGGACTAGTCCCTAAAGAAGGATATCATGCTTGGTAAAGCAGAAGGTCAATGAGAAAGAGGAAGACCCTCAATTAGATGGATTGACATAGTGGCTGCAACAATGGGCTCAAACATAGCTATGATTGTGAGGATGGCACAGAGCCTGGTAGTGTTTTGTTCTGTTGTACATAGGGTCGCTATGAGTCAGAATTGACTTGACAGCACCTAACAACAACAATTGAATAATTAATTAAATTAAAGCAAATCAGCATGAGCAAATAATAAGAATGCTTCATGAATCAAGGATTATGAACAAATTCTGAGCACCTGCGGTCTTGAGGAGGGGGAAGAAGGAAGATAGAATCACCCAGTGTGGGTAATAGATGTTGCCTTCTAAATGGGCAGGTGCCATCTGGTACATTGAGGTTCCAACTATATTGTATTTTTCCCCATACTGAGGCCATATGTCAGATTATATTTCTCATCTTATATTCGTCCTACTCATTGGAGTCACCTGCTTCACCTGGTAGGCAGGTGTTTCTCAATCAGGGGTGATTTTGCCCCCACCAGGGGTTATTTAGTAATGTCTGGAGACATTTTTTGGTCATCGTAATTGGTTAGTAGTGCCACTGGCACCTATGGACACAGACCAAGGATGCTGCTAAACATCCTGCAAAGCATAGGAAGCTCTCTATAACAGAGTATTATCCAGTCCAAAATGTCAATTGTGTCAAAGTTGAAAAAGGCTGCTGTAAGTGTCTGAGTTACTCCTACATAATCTAAACAGGTCACTAGGTCCTACAGACTAGGATATCATCCTTAGCAACCAGAGAATTAGAAAATTTTTACATTGACATCTCTAGTGAAAAGGAATTCACATTTAATGTCAAATGACCACTAAGGTCAGTAGTGGCCACAATGCATTCCAACAACTCATTTTGCAAATGAGGTGTTAAGACAGGATGCAAATCATCCACATGGTTTATTCCTGCCTCCCTCTTCAACCTAGCCTCAGGCTACTCTCCCTCCATCTTTCTCTGCCTCAGTCATGAGCTTCTCCATTTCTTTGA